GCAATACAAAGTATTAATGCATATATTTTCTTTAATCTGGCTTTTTAAAAAGGACAATGTAGAACTCAATTTTTTAAATGTTATTATTTTATGCGCTCAAAAAGTTAATTCGCATTCAGCTTTACTCGTTGCCAGCAGCTAAACTTCCTCAGTAGTAGACATGCGGACTGACGCCATGACCTTTCTTTCCTACGGCCCTCAGTGTATGAACGAAGCGGTCCGTCCAAAACTCTCCTGATTGCCTGCTTATCAGTTATATTGACTCGGTGGCTCAGGACAAGTAACATTATGGAAAAAAGAGCAGGACACTTCACGTAGATAAATATTTCTGGTCAAGTCAAACTTTATAATAGAGGTTGAGAAATCATGAGATAATGGCACCACGTGCTCAAAACGAAGGAGGACGAAGCTTAGCGTGATACAAACGCACAGAAAAGGCATCAGCAACAAGTTATGTGGCTTTTTACGCTTTAACCACGTGCCTGGCCAGACTATTTCAGAAATAAGTATAGAAACTAATAACTTACCGAACAAGGTAGATCCCACTTGCTAGTGATGGGCTATCTGAATCCAGGCTTCGAGGCTTGTACCGAGTAAAATGGGGGCGTGGCCGATGAAGCCCCGCTTCGAGGCTTGTGTTGTCTTGCTGAAAACCACGTGACTGGCAACAAACGAGGCCTCGCATTGCATGGGTCACGTGACTGCTTCATTTTGCGTGTCGGTTTTCAAAATAAAAGCCCGATGAGCCGAGCTGCTTCATGGGTTGTTGTCCATTTGGTCGCATCAGAGGATGATATTTGTCTTCAGTGGCCTAATAAAATGAACATTGACCAACATATTTGATGTGTATTGACGATGGCACTCATCAAAATATAATGTTTGTTACTGGTTTTCTCAATTGTAGATTATGTTTTTTTTTATAACTATATTTTTGTGATTTTATGATGTAAATGTCTTTGCATGGCATTGTTGCTGAAACGTGCTACACAAATAAACTTGATTGTCTGAAATGGAGCCAGCAACATCTGACATCTGAGAATACTTTGAGATTATCCTCACAACAAAATTCTTCTAGGTAAAAATAATTAACCCTCCACCTCCCAATTTCTCACCTTCTGCAAATTTCCACTATTACAAATGTAGTCTGATTAGCACAGATATATCAGTCTTGCACAGCAGAAACAGATTTAAATTTGTTGCAGAACTAAAATTCAACATGTAGCCAAATATGAGGGATCAGAGCCAATTAGAAATCCAAGAAAAAGTGAACGCCCCAACAGACACTGCACTCTCAAGACATTAAAACATCAGTTGTCTTTATTGTCAAATCCATCTATGACATAAAAGAAAACCCATCACAACCACTAACGTTCAACATAAACCAGGATTAGATTGGTTACAAATAATTGTAATAATTAAGACATCTGACAATTAAATATGGTTTCATTGATTATCCTGTTACTAAAGATGAGTTTAATGAAAACTTTGTGACAACATTGCATTTAGTAATTTTTGGAAGTATGATCCAACTGAGTGACAAGACTGTTACAGTTTCACCAGCAGATGTCACTATAGAGCAATGAATGAAGCATCGAGTAACAAACCTTTTTGCAAAGCAAAGGGCTGGAAAGGTTCATTGCTTCATGAGGCTTCATTTGCCCATCACTATCACTTGCGTTGCTTTTTAACTGCAGACATCCGAGTTGGGAAGTGACATCACACTGCAGAAAATTTTGACTTTTATTTAAGTATTACTCTCCTTTGAGATACGCTTACATTACGTTTGAATAAATGCAACCTAGATTATGCAGGAAAGGAAATGAGAAAAATCGGACTTATAACCATTATTTGAATTGCGAGGATAATGTTTAGACGGGCGTGGAGCCCCCTACTGGCTAAATAAGGTATTGAAGCTAGTAACCCAATTTTTAAATGACACGCACAGACGAACAGATGTCTTTCAGACAACATTAAGACTCTCTAGAATGACAAAAAAAGAGATTTTGTCAACAATATTAACCACCATGAAGGTTTTAAATATATTAAAATTCGGCGAACGTTAAGTCCGAACATTTCTTTCTTTCTTTATTTGTTTGTTTGTTTATTTATTTATTTATTAAGACATAGAAGAGATGTTTGCATTAGAATAACAGCAAGAGTAACAAAAAAAATCTTTTTTTTTTTGTAGGGAGAAATAAAGCTCTTTGTAATGCCTGCGGTTTTTGGAAGTTTTTTAAAAGCAGCATTTATAAAAACGCCCAGAAGACGTTCAAGAACGTTCAAACATTCAGCACTTTGTATAAGAAGTGAAAAAAAAAAAATAAATAACAGCCATAAAAGTTTAAAAGATATAAAAACTAAATCAAGTGAAATGACAGCAAAAAAAGAAAATTAATTGGGAACGAATGATCAGAGTGAATGTTCAGACGTTTGCTGAACGTCAGGTCCAAACATTCGACGTTAGACTTTCAGACTACGTTCACGGACGTCGTGCGAACATTTGCTTGCTAGCTGGGAACGAACTAGCCCAATTTGGTTTGTTTTGGAGCAAGTTGGGGTGATGGTGACGTTATTGGCTAAAATTATAACTTTTAATATCTCAAAGACGAAAGCTGCACAAACGACAGTTTTAATGGCACAAACCTGCATAAATGGAGGACAAACGAAGTAGCCCACTTTTGGTTTGTTTTGGAGCAATATGGAGGGATGGTGAACTCTGGATGACCTAAAAAATAATTTTAAATATCTCAGAAACCAAAGCTGCACAAACAAAAATTTTAACGGCACAAACCTGCACAAACGGAGCACCAACCATTCAGACTATTTGCTGGATTTTTGTCCTGAATATGTATTGCTTTCTCTTTGCTGCCCTCTTGTGGATACTTTTATTCCTAGTTTCTTGATTAAATTTTAACAGCTTGACACACATTATTCATTAGGAGACGGAGAACATGGTAATTGCAAACAGAAAACAGAGAAAAAGAAACTTAAGGTAGTTTCTCCCTGAACCAAACCCTGAACACACCCTGTTCTAGGTCCAATCATGAGACAGATAACAGAGATCCTGTATCAACACACACCAACACAACATTGACTCACCCATCCACACAGAGACAGAAAATAACAAAAATACATAAGTAAATAATAATAATAAAAATAAATAAAGTAAAATGACAGGACAATTATAATAAGAATATATAAAAAAGGACATGAGTACAGAAATGGATTAAAACAAAATGGCCTACAGATAGCCTAGTTTGATTCTGTCTCTGCTTTGAAGCAGGACATTAATTGAACAACAAATTCACCTTTTAATTGGTCTTTTGTCATTAATTCACATAATGCTGGACTCTACAACAAAGTGTTCAGTCTTTTAATTTGAATGGAAACAGATTTTTTTTTTTACATAATTTCATTCCATTAAATGAAATAGTATGGAGAACCCATCCTAAATACCATAATTTAATCTTTGCACATTTTGAATTCTCTCCAGTAGTGGTGATAAAAAACCAAAAATACAGAATCACAGTACTTTACTGTAATTAATGTGCAAATATGGAAAGATAAAAATATATATATATTTATGCACAAATAATCAGTTATTTCAGAGCAGTGGTTGCCTAATTTTGGATAAAGACCAACTGTGGGTCTTTTAATCACTGTAAATAAACAATTTCAACCATAGTGGATGACTCTACCTTGTAATGTGGTAAAGTATGTTCATGAATTAAGGACATAGTGAATGCTTACATCTCACGTATGTTAGTATTATGAACTGAAAACATTTTATTACTTCCTGTTTTCATGTTTTTTTGGTTCTGATCCCCCTTAGGGATTATGACCCATTTATAAACCAAAGTAACTATTAGCAGCCTCCTGCAGATAGATGTGATTTAATGGAGTCACATACCACATTCCCAGGAAAACGTCCCTCAGTATGGCACCTTTCCACACCTGAAAAAGTTGGTCATCCAACAATAAAAACCACAACATATTATAAAATTCTGAAGGAAAGATGTAAAAGAAGAATTAACAATAATGATAATATCATTATTCATTTACATTTAAACCCCTTATCTGTCACTCTGAAAACACATACATGTTATCCAGAGGGTCCATGAGGACAACAGTGTCATCATGACAGTTAAGAGGTTTTAAGATACAAGCGGCATGTCAATTCTTTTATATTCTTTTCAATGATGAACGGACAAATCATAATCAGCATCACTCAGATGCTTCTTATAATTTCTTCAGTCAGAAGAAACATGTCTGTAAAATTGAAGGATTCATTTAAATCTAAATCTACCTGCTGCGTGAGTCGTTTTGGGCCAATCTGTAAATATTGTTTCTCTTTCTTACGCTGCTGAAGGAAAGAACCCGAGAGCAAAGTTAAACATTGCTGACCAACATAAAATTCAAGCCAATGCTGGCACAAAGTTTGAAGTGCCATCTCTTATGTGATGTGAAAGGATATTTTTGAAGTTTACAGTTACACGACTATAACAACGATAAAAAAACATATTTTTTTATCTGTCTAGAAAGATCTCTCTGGGCTTCCAGCCATTTTTGAATGCTCTTATTCGTTGTAGCAAATGTCCTCAGCAGTCTGCAACACCAGTGCTGTGCTGGCAAATTTATTTTCAGGCTTCCTCTTTTTTTTTCTCCTCACTTCTCCTCAATTTTACATTTCCAAGACAGTGCAACTTAGAAACTGTCTTGGAAACTTAAAAGTGCCAAGAGTGTTGCACAAAGAGAAAATAAAGGACTAAGTTAAATTAAATCAATTATGTGTGTTTGCCATGATGACGTAGAAGATTCATGTGTATATTCTGATAAACTTGTCAGCCGCAATTATGCAATTTGGGTGACGTGTTTTCAAGAAAAGGGTGCCGGGGAAAAAATGGAATGACTCATTTGTGGAGAACATTTTGATAAGGAAAAAATAAATCTTTCCAATAATTCTTCTTAAATGCTTGGTTTGAATGTGTAAAATAAGGCCTTGTGTGTAAGAAGGTGAAATGGACAGGAATTAAATGAAGCTTTCCCTCCCCTGATCTGATCCACTTTGATTTACAATCATAGTTAAAATCACGTGTTTGTTTTTTTTTTTTTTTTTTTCCCTCACATACTCCTTATCTAAGGGATCTTACGGGACATGGCAGGTAGGTTATGGCCATTGTCCTGGCGTCGCTTGTACACTTAGGTGAGTCTCAGGTAAGCCGTGACGTCATTCTGATACTTTTGACCTCCTTGGCAGTAAATCCATAAAGGTGTGTATCCTCGCCGCTCAGGTGCAGTTATAGCCCCGGACCTCCGACTAAAGCCTGCTGGATACAAACACACCAGCCGAACATGCGCCCGGAGGCCTGATTCACCCGAGAATCCGACCCCCTGCTGTCGAGCGAGGACTCCGGCATGTACCCCAACTCCCAGCCGGTGAGGCACCCGGCTCAGACGCTGTCCCTGCACAGCCAGTACCTTCCGCCTGCTTATGATTTCCCAGGCTACCACCACGCCGTGTCGGGGATCGGCGACCCGTCGACGACCACCTGGAACCCCGTTTACACCCCGCGGGAGGAGTACCCGTTCAGCTTCCCCAGCCCCAGCGCGGGGCAGTCGAACTACATCTCCCCGGAATTCAACAACGCCCCCTCGGCCGCCGGAGGAGGGGGGTCCCTCACCCCTTACATCTCCCAGGACCCCTTCAACTTCAGGAGGAGACCACCCGAGCCCATCAGACAGCCATTTCCAGGTAGAGCTTTATTCATTCTCAGCATGATATTAAAGGAGAAACATTTAGCAGTCTAATATTCTTAACACATTCTGAGGAAACACTCGCTTCTCTCGCACGCAATCTGACGCAGCTTAGACATGTAGTCTGTTATCTTACACCTTATCGAGCGCCTTAAATGTCAGCCTATTAGTATAACAGGAAAAGCATCATCTTGATAAACTTTTCAGTCACAATGCAGTGCAGCAACATAAGAAGCAACAGTTTAGCAGAGGGCACAGGCAACTGCATGCTTTTTTTTTTTCCTTAGACAGCAACATTATCCACAGTGAGTTAAGTCAGTCTGAGGATACATGCATTCATCACACTGTCCGGCTGTCGCTTCTGGCAGCACACTTTCAGATGTCAGTGCAAAGCTAACAGTAAGGGCCATGAAGTCTGCACAGCTACCACTCCGCACCCTCTCTGTCCACTGGGTGGGTCCAACACGTTGACAAATCACCCTGCAGGATGGCAGAGGAAGTCGAACTGCACTTCCACTGAGCAAGTGTTCACCTTTATCTCCCTTTGTGGGTGTGTGCCCGGATCTGCCTCGATCAATGCCGTCACATGCTCAAAATTTTTCTAATCAATAACTCTTGAGTACGTGAACATTTGAATGAATGAATGGCTGCCTGTGAAAACACCAATCCAAACAGAAGTCGCAGAGATAAGGAGAAGCAGCACGGCGACGCATGGAGGAGTCTTTACATTAGTTAGTATTAGCATGATTAATAGAGCTGATGAGGATTTAAGTGGCGCCTGTGCTGAAAGTTGGCTCCAGACATGTTTGGCCACTTCTCTCACCACGTGTGACTCATTGACACATTGTTTCCTGTTGCTTTTCACAAGTATGGTTAACGGAGCTTCATAGCCCTGCAGGGGACATTGTAGAAAGAAAAACACTCTAGTGGGGCAACGCAAAACTTTTGCAGGTTTCTGTAAAGTTTTTCTTCCTGTGTGACTCTGTCAACAGGAAGAAGCTTCACCAGCAGCATGTGGCCAATGCATCCATGACCAGAAACATATAATCTGTGATAACAGAAGCCTGTCCACTTCTTACAGATCCTTGCTTTTTTTCACCAATTCTTATTCCATTTGTGAAGGATGCAAATATCATAAATGTTCAGATGAGTGGAACAAGTGTGAAAAATTAAATACCAAACTATATTTGCAGCAAAAGACATGCGGAAAACCTTTGTGTTCTCTTGCAAACTTTTACAAAAGTGCAGTTGCACAACAGTTTTTGGTTAAATAATTTGAATATACAAATGAATACTTAACATAACTTTTGAGCCCAGTAAGGAATATCCCTCTAAACCTTTGCAGGATCTTGCAAAAGAGTAGCTCTGGATCCCAAAGAACTCTAGCAAGAAACAGTGTCAAAAGTATCTTTCGAGAGATCGCAAATTCTTTTTACTTTGATCTCTCTTGCTTTCAACAGTGTTTTTATATTTTTCTAAAATTTTGTGCTGTTCAGTTGGAAAGACTCGGACAAAGGACAAGTACAGGGTGGTGTACACAGACCACCAGCGGCTGGAGCTGGAGAAGGAGTTTCAGAGCACCCGCTACATCACCATGAGGAGGAAGTCCGACTTGTCCATGGCTTTAGGACTCTCCGAGAGACAGGTGAGGATAACGAGGTGACACAATGAACAGCAGCAAATCACAGCCAAACATAAAAGAACAAACTAGGATCCAGGGAGTTTTTACAGCGTGGTGTAATTAAAGGCTTTTTAGATTGTTTTTTTTTCAGACACATATTGTAAGACTGTAGTTTTAATAGCAACAGAGTTACATCATCTCAGCTTGCCTCTGCTAAATTAGCTATAAAAAAGTGGTAAACGTGGTTACACAAATGGATCTACATATGTATGTAAATATTTTTGCAAAAATGTACAAAAATAGTTTGTACATTTTTAGTTTTGAAGTTCAGTGATACAGAACTGTATACACTGTTCTTGCAGCATGCTTTTTTTTTGTGCTATTAATGAGATATTTGCCAATAAATGACAATATTATGTATATTTTGCAGCATTATGGCAACAATAACAAGTGTCCAGTTTGTGCCCTGTCATGGTTTAAAAGGAAGATACAAATATATTAAACCAGATCCCCAACAACTAATATCTGTAGTCGTGCAAGAAAAGAAGAAACCGTTTCGAATTTCGACAGAAGTTGATTTCACAATCTTAATTTCTTCCACAGTGTGGTTAAGCCCAAAATCTACACAGACACGAGTGGCCCCGTGTTCAGGTTTTTTTTAAATAGGTAGGCAGCTGTCACTAACATTTAAATGCTGGAGATAAAATGTAATTCTCAGATAGATTACATGATCCATCGTCAGTTAATCTGACTTTATGGTGTGCGCGTCATTCTGTTGACATTTCATTTATATTACACGACGTGCAACTTTATTTTCGAATGGTTTGTATTGTCTTTCTATTGCAGTTACATGTGAGATTAGTACACAACAAAACTGAGTACATTAGAATACAGATACTTTTGTGACCGTGTTTAGATGTCCAGTGTTTGAAAATCCCCATAAACTGTGAGTGTTTTGTGGCCAAATGCATCAGCAGCAACAAAAGTGCACAACTCACTCTTGCTTTCTAATGCAGCTTGTATTAATGTGTCTTTCTGCCTCCTCATTTATTCAGCCAAACCCACAGCTTTGTGTAATACTGGCAAAACCCAAAGCAATTCTTAGGAAACTTATCATTACTAAACTTAGCCACAAGTCAACAGGGTGGGGTAAACTGCTTTAACCACGATCCCTTAAAGTTCTCCACATTTTGTCACATCATGACAGATCTTAATTCATTTTATTGGGGTTTAATGTGACAGACAAACAAAGAGTACTGCGTATTCCTAAAGTGAAAGGAGAGCGATACTGTAAATAGTTTTCAATTGGACACAAATCCCAAAAGTGAAATCCATCCATCCAAAAATAAAGTTATAGAGAAGTTTAAAGAACGGTTAGGTTATGAAACCACTGCAAAGTTCAGGTAAGATAAGATCCCATGCAGACCACATAGCACGATGTGGAGATGATTTTCCTCAACAGTGTCAACAAATCTGGATCTAATGGAACAATAAACATAGAGGAGAAAGTCTTAGAGTCTGCGAACCCTTAGGACTGGGCTGGATGATCACCTTTCAGTCTAAATATCCATCCAGAGGTGCAATTGGGTGGCATAGACTATGTGTTAGAATGACATAGTCAAAGTTACTCTTGGCTCATTTCTTCTAATATGAAAATATTGTTGTTTTGAGGCTATTTCCAAGTAATATTTTGGAATGGCATAAGAATGAACAAGAACACATTCTCAAAGATCGGTGCAGTTTAAATTCTAATGAACATTTCAGATTGGAACTGCAAGTCATTTAAAATAATCAAAATAAATAATGCACCAGATTAAAGACTTTTGTCATCCAGTTTTTGATACAAAGAGAGAAAGAAAAAAAAAGATAAATCATTTATATGGAAATTATTGAGCTCATTTTAATTAATCATGCGATTAAAATTAGATATTAATTTATAAAACTTGACAATTATGCACCACTTTGTGTTGTCCTGTCCCAAAAATCCAAATAAAATACGACGAGGTCGGTGCTGGCAGTGCGACAATTTGCATGATTACCAATGGAAAACTACGTCTGCATCTCAGTTTGAGGTGACTAAGTGATGCTATCAAAATAGCTTTGTGGAAACACAGCTGAAAGCAAAACAGGACGTGTTGTCATATGGCATTTGCGGCCTGCTTTAAGAGATATTTTTATCGACATAAAGTAAAGTTTTCTTCTACTGTTTGCGTTTTGTCAGGTGAAGATCTGGTTTCAAAACAGACGCGCAAAAGAAAGAAAGATCAACAGGAAGAAGCTGCAACATTCCCAGCAAGCCTCCACAACGACTCCCACCCCACCTGTTCTCAGTGGCCTCACTGAAGCCCATGTTACCTCCAGCCCCGGCGCGAGCGCCAGCATGCTGTCGGACATAAAAACAGAGGAGTACTAGCTGGATTCCTGATCCGCGACAGGGAGCGTGTCCAGAATGTAAATAGTATTTTTTTTTTTTTATTGAGTTCAACACAGAGTGATTAATCATGTCACTGATGCCTCAAATCCATTTTTTTTTTTTTACAGTGTGAAGCTACATTGTAAAACCTGAAAAATCATTCACATTTTTGTACAAGTATGGACTGTTATTAGATCAACACATATCTGTTGTCACTTTTAGAGTCTATAATGCTGTGAAAAAAGTATTTGTCACCTTACAGCTTTTTGCTGGGTTTCTATTTGTTTTTTCTTACCGGATAATCAAACACGTTTCAATTTCCGACAAAGGTAACCTGAGTTTGGATAAACATTTTTTTCCTTTTTTTTTTTTTTTTTAAATCATGATTTTATTTGTAAAGGGAAAAAAAAAAACTATGCAAAACTTATGTGAGAAACATGACCCAATATGTTTGACCTCTGAGGAGATTTAAAACAGATAAAGTTATTAACATCCATCAAGTGTTATCATGTATAAAGTATTTTTTTTTTAAGCTTTGTGACTCCATCAAACGACAGTGAACGCCTGCAACGCCTCATCCAGACTGTCAAAAAAACAAACAAAAACAAAACACAGAACAGCCACTGCAGACCAAACGGCATTAGATCGGGTTAGAGTCCAGGATTCAAAAATAATTAAAAAAAAAATGTCGGAGAATAAATTTCAGCAGTCAGAGAGTTCTGAGACACAACTGCTGACTTAAAAGTGAACTTTTTATTTTTTAAATAAATGTCCCTATGCACCTTGCATAAAATCTACATACCGTTTAAGAAAGTATTAGAATAACAGTGTTGGTAGTGTGATGGTCTGGGTTTCCTTTGTAACTTCAGGATTTGCTGGAGTTGATTGAAAAAGGAGTCCTTATCTCTCTGCCAAAAATCATGAACTATTGAAAAATAGTTTGGGTTCTTAAGTGCAAATCCAGTTGGATTGATTTTGAAGTGCCACAATAATCTAATGCACACTTGCAACCCACCTCTGAATGATTCAACAAATAAATGAATAAAGACTTAATAAAAATGAAGCTTTAGTCCAGTGGGTTAAATCCAAATGATACAGTGTGGCATGACCACAAACACACCGCTCATGATTGAACAATATGACTAAAATAAAAAATATATATATTCTGCATTAAAAGTGAGCCAAAATTCATCCAGTGATAAAAAAAAAAAGACTTGTTGCCACTTATCACACACATGTGGTAGCAGCTGCTGCCACCAATACGTTCGGTCTATTGTTCTGATGATTTGAATAGTTTTTTTTTTTTCTTTGACAAATGTATTCATAATTTTAATATATCCGGTTATCTTTGGCTGATGATCTGACACATTTAAGTGCAACAAGAAAGCAAAATCAATGCAATTTTGTGCTATAAAATACGTCGTTCCATCATTGTAATGTGCTTCTCAGTCGAGACACTAAAACATTTTCACATGTTCTGTTTGAAGGAACAAAAAATAATGAAGTTTGTTGGTTTAAGCCTGGTCTAATGTAAAATGCGTGCTGCATTAAAAAGTGCCTTGTGGTCGTTTTTTTTTTTTTTTTTTTTTAATCTGACTTATGGAAACTGCTTACTGCGTCTTGCATGGGCATGCAACTGAAGTACAAAAATAACGAACTTAGAATTTTAGGGAAGTAATGCTTGGTTTAAGGGAAACCGAAAGAACAGAGCAGAAGGGAACCTGAGGAAAGAAGAAAAAAGAAGTTAAAGTCGGCAGCTGTGAGGAAACATTTTAAGTTTCATTTAATGTTAGCTCGAGGCACAGCAGAGCTGAATTGATATGAACATTGTTATATTTAATAATTAATTTATATTAAGTCATTTTAGCCAACGTAACAAATGCTCTAAGGAAGCGAGGGTGTAGCTTATAAAACATTAGGCCAAGGAATGAGAAATTCAGATGAGAGTTTAGCCACATCCTGACAGACTGACTGCTCAACCACATGCCATGTGACACACAGTCATTTTGGCTCTAAACACAGACACTGAGCTGTGCCACGAATTTGAAATTTTTAAATAAATAATGTGCTGTAAGCCTCAAAATAAACTTAGTGCATTAAAGTATACGTTCATGAAATTATCACTTGAGTTTGAGTCGTCTATTTTGTGACAACAGAGGAAGAGCAAGTGGAAAGGAGAGCCATGCACCGACCACAGGCATGGGCTATTTATGGAAATACAAATCATACCTTCATGCATGCGATATGGACCCATTTTGTAAGTCTGAAATTATTAACCTCAAAATATTTAATTTTAGAATAGACCAGGCTAATATGGTTGGCTAAAAATAAGTTATTATGTCCCAACATAATGGTAGAACAACACAGAAGCTGACTTTCACTCTGCCTCATTTTTTTGTGACGTTTCTGTAAAATAAAGTTTGAGAATTGCAAAACAAAAAAGTACCAACAGTACAATCCAGCATAAAGTCTAGTACAAAGCTTAGTGTTAAGTCATACTGGCGCCACGATATAAATTTATCACCAAACCAAAGCATGAAGTTAATCAGATGACATCTCGTTAACTTTTTCTTTCTTTGGTCAATTTGTAGACTAACTTTATCTACGAATGGAAAACTGACTTACTTGAGGCACAAAAGTTGGCACTGGACTTTGTTTTATAGTGGGCTAACTTTGGCATTGCACGGCAACATCACATGAGCGCGCCATGACAATCATAATCCCTTGAAATTTATTGAAAACAAATGTTTAATTGCCACTGTTTGAAAAACTAGCATTTTACAGTTTTCAAAGATCCCCATTTACTGGTTCTGTGTTTTAAGTGAAAAGAGAGGAACTGACTGTTTGAGCCGCATGAAGAGATCTTAGATTGTAGTTTAAGGAGAATGCAAGTGGCTTCGATCATAAATGTACTTTATGGCCCAGTATGTCAGCTGAATGATTGTTAACCTTTAACCTCAAACAATAAAACTTAACATATCCTGTCGCTGATTAAACAGACAGAAAGTGAAAGCCAAACTTCTCAAATCTGACCAAAAGATCAAAGTATCACTAAAAATCAAAAAGTGCCAGAACAATCTTTTCATACCTGCCTGTTTTGATTATTTAATTTTTTTTATATCAGTTTTAATAGAAGCACAGTGTTATAAGCACTTATGTTAGTATTGTTCATAAATGTTTTAGAAGACAATCATCTCAGGATTTAGCTTTGAATGACTGGAGATCCAGCTTGTTGTCTGTTATTAAAAGTTTGTTGAATATATTCTTCACTTCAGCAACTCAAAATGATCATCTGCTTTACTTCAGTGTATATCATATTTGAATTTTATGTGATATAGACCAAAATAGAACAGGGGATTTTTGTGAAGAGGAAAATGAGTTTATAAAACTTTTCTACAAATAGGAATCTGAAATCAGTTGTGTGCGCTTGCAGTTTGAGTTTGTAAGTCAACACAGCCACTTTAATGTCTGTTTTTAACAGCCATGGATAGAAAGTTTTTTAAGTTCTTTGTAATTAAAGCTCAAGTTCAGATTGGAGTGAAAACCAATATCAACATAACTTTTTAAGTGTTACCACAGAACCTCAGTTGGATTTAGGTCTAGACTTTGACTGGGCCATCCTCACATATGACTATGTCTCCAACTTGTGACAGGAGGTTTGAACTCCTAACAGATTTTCTTCAAGCATTGCCTTGCATTTAGCTCAGTTCCTGTGATCTCTGACCAACTTGGATCTCTCTGCTAAAGAGATGCACATCACGATGCTGTTTTCCATCTGCAGCATTTTGAATGTAGGCCAACTGAATTTTGATCTAACTGGATCAAATTTCCCCTGTGTCCCTGTGCGGAAAACTGCAATCAGTATATTTTCATGAATTTTGTCCAACAATAGCTTTCTTTGAGCATGCATGACTGTCAGTGTTTCTGGAGCAACAGTGTTTATTGATGATGCGACTCGGTGCAGAGGCAGCCGAATTAATTCGTATTTCAGAGACTTAATGTGTGCTCAGAACCAGATGGACAATGATCCAAAACATACAGCTAAAGCAACTCAGAAGTTTAAGTAAAATACTCTTGAGTTCCCAAGTCAGTTCCACTGAGCATGCATTTCACTTGTTAACGACTAAACCTCAAACAAAAATATTCACTAAGAAACAGCAGCCGAAAGGCGCTTAAGTAAACGCCCATGAGAGCATTAAAACAGAGGAACTTCTTGTTTGATGTCCACAAGTTCAGCACTTCAAACTGTCATTGGCAGCAAAGCATTTTCAACAAAGTATTAGAGGTAAACATTTTAAGTTAAGTTCTCCGACATCCTTTGAGGATATGAAGGGGTTGTGAAAGAAATGCTCTTCGATTGCACCTGAGTTGTTTCATTTAAGTTCTTTGTGGTAATTCACCTAAACCAAATATGAAAAAAACCTTGTCTCTCCAAATATTTACGGTCCTGACAGTCAGTGCTATTACACTTGATCTGTGATCTTTACATTTCTGTTCACATAGAGACTTGGTAAAGTGGAAACCACACAGTCACATGACTAAATATCGAAAAGATAACCTGGGGGGTGTTGAAACGCAAACGCAACCTTCCCTCTGTTATCTGACAAGCTGTCAGATGTTGTTTCCTCAAACTGAATGTGCTGAATATTAAAAGAACGCCACATTTCCAGTTCCTCTTTTATGTGTGTGCGTGCGTGTGTGTGTGTGTGTGTGTGTGTGTGTGCTTGAGACTGTTTTCCACTGCTTTTATCTCACTGCATGAAAATTACAACTAAATTGGGAAAAGTACAAAAGTTCAGTGGTTAAAAATAAATCGATAAGATGAAATAAATAATGTTGGTTTTGCTGTGCATGGCAACACAGCTGTAGTATAATGTGATTCTTTATTTGGTTAAGAGAGGCAGTGTGCATTAAAGAACATTTTGAACCACCCAGTGCACCCAATACGACCAAAGCTGAAAACCATTAAGTCCATACGAGAATTTAAGCTATAATTGTCTTAGAGAAAATTTGTGTCATGGAAACTTTTTTTTTTTTTTTACTATAAAGCTCCCTAGAGATAAAGTTTCTCTCGTTTCTCTATCTACTCTAGAGCCACACGGAGATAACATCACTGATGCCAACAGCAAGTCCCAAACAAGCTGCAAATGTACAACTGATTTGAGCTGAGGTTAATTTATGCAAATTATGATAAAAAGGATTAATGAATAATTTACTAACACATTAATCATTTAGTTATCCAGAAGTTTTTTTTTTTTTTTTAATTCTCGTTAATGTCAACAAATAATAATAGGTGAAACTATACACTCCACTCGTTAAACTGGTATTCATCAAACATATTTTAATTTGATAAACATCACATGCAGCTTTTTGTAACAGCATTACAGCTTTTTGAGTACAATAACATATTTAGGAAGAACACTTTTAAATTAAAGACATCTAAAACATATCTTCAAGTGTTATAAGGTGTTGCTCACCAAGCTGACTTTACGCTATCGAGAAGCAAGCGTCACGTTTAATAAGTTAAAACTGTAATAATAAATGAACTTCCAAAAAACAAGCAGCACAATAAACCTTAGCTGTTATGACTTGATATTTTAAACAATTTTGCGGCACTATTTTCTTTTATTCAGAATCGAATTAAACAGGAACAGGGGGAATTTATAGACAAACAGTGAATGACCCACGCTGGGAGTTCAAGCCAGGCAGCTGCAGTAATCTCCATAAAAGGACAATTACTCTAGTTTCAGCAGGAAGTGATATAAAATAAAAGCTTTTTTCACTTTACATCATCTCTCTCTCTCTCTCTCTCTCTCTCTCTCTCTCTCTCTTTCTCTCTATCAGCCTTTCATAGCGTCGTCTTTGTAGATGTGTAAAAATAAGCCCGCTAGACATTACACATCACCTGCCTTTTCGTACTTGTGCATACACGGTATCATCCACTGTCGGGTTAGTTTGAGATATTCTTGGTTTCTTTGAAAACTTGACCTGGCCGTACTCCACGTCAGCCTCCTCACTTTTCTCCACTCTTCTCCCCTGCTTTTTCACAATCCTGACATCAGCATAGGTCATTTCCTGGTCATCATCCTCCTTCTCCACTGCAGAGAAGCAGGAAGAACAGAAATGGTGTCACCCTACTGACTTTACGAGGTGTCGTTTTGAGTTAGTTATTGAGAAAGCTGTGTTATTTACCTTTTGTGTTTTTCTTTTTCTTGTGGACACAGATGAATGCTATGCTGGCTATCAAGACAATTACGAGCGCTGCTAAAACACCACCCATTACTGGCAACAGCCCTGTTTGAAAACATAATAAAATAAGACAAACACGGGTCTTTAAGGTCAGCATTACTCTGTGGTATTTATGCAGACTGGTAGGAATGGAAAAATGATTGATTTTATTGAATCTAGCACAACAGAGTTTATCTTCACTTACTAATGTACCAAGGATGACCATTGTCGTTAGGGCTGCTAGCAGAAGTATTTGACTGTGTCTTCTTACCCACACTAGTATATTTGGTTGTTGGAGGGACTGTTGTTGGTTCAACACACAGGGTGTTGTTTTCTTTATACACCCACTTAGCTATTTGTGTCCCATTGGAAGTGCAGTTAATAAAGCCTAGAAGCAAACAATATTATAAATCATGTAAGGATCATGATAAAAAATATGATTTATCTTTTCTCACTCACCACAACCAGCTAAGTTCATCTCTTTGGAGGAGTTACTGACTTGATTCCTGACTGAACAGACCAGATGTCCTGAGATGTTTTGTCTCAGAACGATGATGTTGGTCTCAGTATTTCTAGAGAAGAGCTCAGAGTCGGTCAGTGTGTGTCCATCCAGAGTCCAGCTGTACTGAGGACTGTCGCCTTGAGACACACAGGACACCTTCATCTGTCCCTGAGACAAACAGTCATGGGACAGCTGGACAGAGGACACAGGAGCTGAGAGAGAAACACATGAAAAATGAATGACAGAAAATAGCTCTTTTAAATTTTGGTGGAAAACTGGAAAGTATGGAAGACAAACTGAAGTATGTTGTAAAATATTTGTATTTTACATAAGTATAATGTGTATTTCATGGTATGAAATGAAACAATGTCAAAGACAAAAAATGGAAGACAATTAGAAAAGAAATAGTTGATTACCTTTAACCAATAGTTGCAGAGTTCTCCTTCCTGTTTCCTTTCCATTTTCATCAAACATATCAAGTTTATATTCATCGCTGTCATTCCTTCTCAGGTCATTGATCCTGACTGATCCATTACTGGGGAAAAAGGGAATTCTGTCGTCCTTTGAAGTAACAACTTTGTTATTCCTCCAAAAGAGTATCACAGAGTTGTTCCTTTTCCATGTGAATCTGGATATTTCTGACACGTCGTCCATCAGCTGAACGTCTACTGCTCCTCCCAAAACTCCAAAACACTGAGTTCCATTTTTTCTGCCATCACAGGAAGTTTTCACAGCTTAAAGGGAGAACAAGAATAATGATAAATAGTTTATTTACTTATTTTTATATTGTTAATTAAAGGATTCTATTAGCCACTTTGACATTTCTAATACGAGGCACTGCATTTCTCACACATCACTATGACTTTAAGTGTTTAGTATCAAACAGCAGAGTTTGAAACAACAAAAAGGTAAACTGACTTAAAGCAGCTTTCTCTTTAAACAGACCCCAAGCAACAAATAATATTTAATATGATGTCTTCAAAACTCTACATACTAAAAAGACAATTCATCATTCATTCAAAAATCAAAGTTTCATCAGTTCATTACCAATATAGTAGGTGATGGAAAACCTACTGATTTTTTTACATTTTTGTTCGGTTAAGACAAATTAATTTTGTTTTTTCAAGGATCGTCAAATCGTGTGATCACAGTAAAATGTTTTTTTTCAAGCTTTTGCTTGTTGCAGGTATCCATAAAGTTGATAAGAATTTATGTTTCATTTGATATTGTTTGTAAAAAACAATAATAAAAATAACTTTCAAAGATTAAATAAACTCAACAAATAAATGTAAATTAACTAGATTTAGCCTCTGAAAACTGGATCCTAACTCAAATAATTTTTAAGTGCAATTATGTGATGTTTTGACTTAAAGTTTTATGCTAAATTTTTAATAAATAAAATGAATAGTAAAAATCATCTATGCATTTTTATAAAATAACCACTATATTTCTTTCCTTTTATCAACCAATTCACATTCTGCTAACGAGCTTGAAACACTTCAACATATTTAAATCATATAACAAGTTTGGAACATTTCTGTTTTTATATTAAGTGTATATTTTTTCCATGAAATTATACTAATTTGATTAACAGGCCATACAATCAAAATTTATGGAGTGTCGTGAAACCTGGTTGGGCCTGATTGAGATCTTATCAGGACACACAGAAAACGGGTCACAGAAGCCAGGAGGCAACAAGTAATCTGGTATTATGATTTAATGTTGATTGAAAATTATGTAATCTTTGTTTTAAATGCACTATGAATTAATGTTGATTATGAGTTATGTGATTTTGGTTTGAAAGTAATAAGGAATCTTGACTTAATGAGAAAAATCATAAATGGATAAACGTAATGACTACAAGTTAAGCGTAAATCACATAATGTAAGTATTTTACCACGTCATTCATATATAACAGAATAAATTTGGTGCCCGGTGAAAAGTTAAAAAACTCACCATGAGCGACTTGGAGCGACATCAGTAAGAATCCAACGACGGCTCTCATCTTTACCCACAGATTCACTCAGCTGCTGCCAGATTTTGTGATATTTTATCCAGAATGTAACATTTACATTTTATCCTGAACAACCTGCTGTGTGTCCTGTTAGTGATCAGCAACAGAGGAGAACTGGCAAAAACCTTGTTTATATCAAACAACTGTACTGTTCATGTTTTTAACTCACTGAGACGAGGAAAGGAAGTGATGTGAGTCTTACTTCCCCTTTTAACCAACAACAAGTCTTTGCTTGTGTGTTGAAGTGAGAGGAAGAAAAAGAAAATGTTCAAACGGGTTTTGAGAAATAATTTTATTCAGGTTTCTTTATAGTAAAGCTTTGATGAATTGAAAAAAAATTTAAAAGGAGTATCCCTTCAAATGTTGTTATTGTAACCGTATAAAAGTCACAAATAATATTATAACACAATTAATGACGGTAATTTTGAATCAACATTTGATAAATATCTTCTCTGGCTTTAGGACCCATGGGAAGCCGTCTGATTCCTTATAATTTGTAACTCTTGTGCCTGTAATTAAGGACAAAATTAGCAAAGTTGGTAGCCTTAATGACTACAAAGCAATAGCGTTAGCTAGTGTGATATCTAAAGTGTTATTAGTCGTCCCAATCAGCTTATTAGTACAACAGATAATCAATTTGGTTTCAAAGCCAAGTTGGGAACAGATTTTTATATTTCTGACCTGAAAGAGGCAGTAAAAGCATATCTAAGAAAAATTAATCTGTTGTAATTGGGTTTATTGATTCCTCTGAGGCTTTTGATCGGGTCAATCAACACAAGTTGTTTGATAAATTAAAACAGAGAAATGTTCCAGATGTCATTATGAGAATTTTAGTTTACTGGTATTCTAACCAGAAGATGCATGTAAAATGGGGGAATGACGTCTCTGCCTCTTTTGATGTGATGTGTGTCAGGATGGGCTTCTTTCACCTGCCCTGTTTAACTTGTACATGGATGACCTGTCAAAAGAAATGAACCTCTGTAAAACTGGATGTATGACTGGTGATCCTCTGGTCAGTCACTTTATGTGTGCTGATGCCCTGGCTGCCCTCTGACTCAGCAGTGTAGGTTTCCAGCAGTTACTGAATATCTGCTCTGATTATGGGTTAAGATATGATGTGCAGTACAATGCTAAGAAAACTGTTGTGCTAATATGTAGGATTAAAACAGATGAAGAACTTTGTTTTCTTGATTTTCTTCTGTGGAGACAAATGTTAAATGTTTGCTCCAAAACTAAACACCTGGGTCACTACATCACAGACCAGCCCTGTAATGATGACGATGATGGTGACATTTATCGGCAGTGTCGGATATTTTGTGCCCAGACATTTCTGCAGAGGAAATTTCATATGTGTACCGATAAAGTAAAAATAAGTCTGTTCAAAGCTTACTGTACATTCCCTTCATGGTGCACATTTTAAAAAGTTAGCATGCAGAAGTTTAAGGTTGCTAATAATGACTCCCTGAGAGTCATGATAAACAATCTTTGATATAGAACAATCTTATTGCAATGCTGTCACAGCCTCCTGTCAATGTGCTGCGATACCTGTCGTCTTTGTGGAAACATTGGTGTGCAAATCTTTTATAATATTTTTTTATGTGATGTGTATCATGTCTTTGTTCTTTTTTTATGTCTATGTGGACCATGAGTCTGTTGAATAAAGCAATCATCAGTCAATCTTCTTTAACAAAAAAATTATATTTATTTACTATCAGAATTAGAATTTCTTTATAAAAACAAAGGTTATTTAAAAATATTTTTGCTTTAAACAACTGTTGCAGTTTTTCAATTTATTTGATGGAAATGCTGAAATTCTACTGTATGAAATTGTATTTATTGAAAAAAAAAAGGATTCAAATAAATATTTATTAGTTTCAACTCTGATATTTAGTTTCTGTGTTGTTGAAACAATTGTTGATAAACTTCCCGACTCCTCCAAAACCGATTAAACAACTGAAAATGCAGAATCTGTATTCTTCTATTAAATAGGATTTCTTATCTGTGCTTATATCGTACAGTCAATATATTCATCAATTTTGCATTCACATCTATGCACACATTCATACATTAATACACAGATTAGTATTGAATCCAGAGTTTAGTGCCTTGCTCCTGGCGGTTTGATATGTGGAGGAAAATGAAGTCGAACCAAAAACCTTCAGGATGTAGGAATCGATTTTTGTCTTAATTTTAAGAAAATCAAGCAATAAAAATCTAAAAATGATGAGTTTACTAATGATGTCAATAGAGTTTTATAATCAGTGACATCATTAAATGAAATCAGTATAACTAATATAACACAATATTGGACTTTTTTTGTCACAACAGATGAACAAAGCAAGAAAGAAAAAAACGAACACTTGCAGCTGGTTGTCACAAAGACTTGAGAACAGGAGAATAATAAGTGGGTACAGTCCTGAATGAGTGTTTTCCCCAATTTGAGGTTGATATTTTACTCTTTTCCCTATAGGGGAGGTCTACAGATCCAAGGGGAGGTTTGGGACTTGAGGTCCTCTTGTGGGAGCTTTATTGATGTGGGTTCTTTTACAGAAAAAGTAAATTTTTTCATTCAAAAACTAATAACTGAAATATCATTGTAATGAATATGATGATCTGTTGATAAAGCTGTGAGTTGATTGGGTTTCCAAAGGTTGCTGAGTTACAGATGCCAGATATTACAGCAGAAAAGAGAGAAACTGAGTGAACAGGATGCCATCACCACCATTTGAAAGAAAAAAAAAAGATACTTGCGTTTTATGAAAGTCCCACAATATGTTCTGAAAAGCTAGCAAAGATTAGTGAAACATTGTCACCATATTTTCGGCTGCTTTTGTTTATTAAAAAGAGGTTCAAAGCTGCTTTAGTTCTCGAAGGAAGTAAAAGTTGCGCAAGTCTAAAAATCTAGATTCCTGTAACATGTAGCTTAATTATTGTACAAACATTTGAAAAGTCCCAGTAGCCAAAAAGCATCAAGAAAAAGAAAAACAGCTTCCGTGTTTGTACGGCTAACCATTTTCTCTGAGGCTACAAGGTTCCTTTATTACATTTTAGCTGGCACCATTTTTACGGAGTTTGTATTTTCCTCTGCTGGTTTTGTACGACTACTACGGTTCACTTCAGTGGTTCCAACACATGTAAGACAAGTTAGTCTAAGTTAAGTGTGAGAAACATGCGAATAAAAAACATAAAATCAGGAAGTGGACAAATACTTTTTCACACCATTGTATGTCATAAGAAGCTCATGGTACAACTCAACATTAGATGAATGCTAATTCATTGAAAGTAGATTAAAGTTGGAAAATGCATAAAAAAAAAACATGCTTAACCTCTAGAGACAAAATGTTTACAATATATAACACAAGAAAGAAATTAAACTAAAACTTTCACTTTAACATAAAAGAAAAATGACACTTTCAAATGTTGCACAATAAAACACTCATGAAACATGGCAGCCAATCCCAGAAATTTCTACATGCTTATATTTGTGAGCTTATGTTGAATTTTTACAAATTACAGTCATGATGTCATCCACCTAATGTGCAGAGCTCAGCTGAATCATCAGAACAGAGTTCTCTGGATTCTCCTCTGTGGGTGGGATGGCAGATGATTTGGCTTTTTTATATTTCTTTTGCTTCCAAGTGAAGTAGAGACAAAGGGCAATTAGAGGAAGAACCACAGTAATACCACGCAATCCCAAAATGAGCCAGGAGGACAGACCTGCTTAAAGACAAAAAAACTTCATTAGTTCAATTAAACTGATGAGTTTTCACCGTAGACTGTATTTATTGTTGGATGAACTCCAGCAGTTCTCACACTAGAGGACGAGGTAATCTACAAGATTTTTTAGTAATTTTCACTTGCTAATGTATCAAGCTTGATCATTGTCATTAGCAGAAGTATTTGACTGTTTTCTCACACACACTAGTATATTTGGTTGTTGGAGGGACTGTTGTTGGTTCAACACACAGGGTGTTGTTTTCTTTATACACCCACTTAGCTATTTGTGTCCCATTGGAAGTGCAGTTAATAAAGCCTAGAAGCAAACAAATTATAAATCATGTAAGGATCATGATAAAAAATATGATTTATCTTTTCTCACTCACCACAGCCAGCTAAGTTCATCTCTTTGGAGGAGTTACTGACTTGATTCCTGACTGAACAGACCAGATGTCCTGAGATGTTTTGTCTCAGAACGATGATGTTGGTCTCAGTATTTCTAGAGAAGAGCTCAGAGTCGGTCAGTGTGTGTCCATCCAGAGTCCAGCTGTACTGAGGACTGTCGCCTTGAGACACACAGGACACCTTCATCTGTCCCTGAGACAAACAGTCATGGGACAGCTGGACAGAGGACACAGGAGCTGAGAGAGAAACACATGAAAAAAATAATTACAGAAAATAACTTTTATTTTGGTGGAAAACTGGAAAGTATAGAAGACAAACTGAAGTATGTTGTAAAATATTTGTATTTTACATAAGTATAATGTGTATTTCATGGTGTCAAATGAAACAATGTCAAAGAGCAAAAAATGGAAGACAATTAGAAAAGAAATAGTTGATTACCTTTAACAAACAGTTGCAGAGTTCTCCATCCTATGTTTTTTCCATTTCCATCAAACATTTCAAGTTCATATTCACCGCTGTCAGTCCTTGTCAGGTCATTGATCCTGACTGATCCATTACTGGGGAAAAAGGGAATTCTGTCGTCCTTTGAAGGAACAACTTTGTTATTCTTCCAAAAGAATATCGCAGAGTTATTAATGTTCCATTTGAATCTGGGTATTTCTGACACGTCGTCCATCAGTTGAACATCTACTGCTCCTCCCAAAACTCCAAAACACTGAGCTCCATTTTGTCTGCCATCACAGGAAGGTTCAAGTGCTTTAAAAAAAGATTATTATTATTATTATTATTATTATTATTATTATTATTATTATTATTATTATTATTATTATTATTATTATTATTATTATAAGAAGAGCATTAACTTTTTCTCTATGAGTATTTTATGTTCACAAGAGAAAATAATGTTATAAAAATAATCCATCCATCTATTGATCCTTTATCAATATACTACATCAGTTTACTAGAACAGAGGTGGGGTACACTCTGGACACAAGACACACAATGCTACACACACAAACTCATGTCTAAGTCTGATTTATAGAGATGAGTTGACCTGAAATGTTTTCAAATTTTGGGATGTGGCTGGAGAGAACTGACAAAGGTAAATTATATATAACCCTATTCTTTGAATGAAATGTCTTATTGGTACTTTAAGGAAATCAAAATCTCCTAATTAACATGTTTGTTTATAACATGTGACAGGTAGTGAAAAGTCTTTGAGATTTTGCTTCACCAGTTATGGAAAGTCTTGATTTGTATCCATCATGCCAGAGACGTGACAAATCAGAATAAAGTATGTTTAAAGCTGTCTTGAAACAGAAAATGAGTTTAGTTGATTTGTCAGTTGATTTAGTTGATTATTTACTATGGAGTAGAGGACAAATAAAGCCATCACCTGTTGATGTTGTCTGATACATACAGGAAACCAAACATATCATCAAGCTCAAGTAGTTTCTTCAAAATAGTTGGTACAATATCATTACTCCTAACAGGTTTTTTTTTTCAAATTGTTTCTGAAGTAAATGTAACTGAGTGAGAAAATGCAAGAAGTTACTACTTGCCTCAAACTACACATAAAACATCGCATTGCAAACACTTTACTGCCCTCTAGCGTCTGAGCTGAATGACTCTTAAGTCATCCAGACATTAAGGGGTTAAAAGTCAGGCCTGTTCCCGGAAATTAAGAGCTTTAAATAAGCTTGATAATTTCTGAGAAAGAGATATATAAATATATACCTTGCTGATGGCGATGAAGACATTTTTCTAAGTAATAGCAGGAAGTGTATGCAACTATTTAATCTAGTAGGTAGAATTTAGAACAAATTTGGACAAGAGTAAATTCACACAAAATTTTATCTACTGAATTATTAGTTTTAAACCTTGTTTAAGTTAATTCCACACCAAAAAGAAAGGGTTAAAAGCAACATATACATACAAGATATGCTAAGGATGACTGACACTGATGCAAATAATGCATACCAAGTTTATGTTTTTAAAAGTTCGGGCTATTTTAGAAAATAAGACAAAAAACACAACAATCAATTAGATATGTGAAAAATTGTGAGCCACTCACCACTACAGACTCCTATCAGGATCAACTGCAGCTTAATCACAGCTTTCATGTCTCTATTCACCCGAGTCTTTGTTGATCAGTGACTGTTAAAAACATAAATGCATGCAACAGCTGATGTATGTCCTGTTAATGATTAGCTTCAGAAGAAAAATTGTGCAAATACTTTTCAGTTAGCGGTGAAATAAGGAAGGAAGTTCAGCAAACCTAAAAAAAAACAATAAGAGGAAGAAGAAATAAGAAGATTACAGTTTGCTGTAAGCCATTCTCCTACTAGCTCTGTGATGATGGAGCATCAAAAACCAGGCTTCCAGGCTATACGGAGTTAAAAGGGTGTGTATCAGATGAAGTCCCGCTTTGATGCATGTGTATTGCTGAAACACACAACCGATGACGAACAATGCCTCGCGTTACACTGGACACGTCACTGCTATATCGTGTGTGTCAGTGTTCAGGACAAAAACGCTACAAACCATCTTGCTTTGTGGGTTGTTGTCAGTAGCTTAGCTAAGGATGAGAAAGCAGAACATTTTTCATCAATAGTGGCTGAAATAGAGCCAATAAAAAAGGACAAAAACTTTCATTTGGAAATAATTTGAGATCACCGTTCACAATATAATTCTTTAATTAACTCCCACCTTCCAGAAATGTCATAGAAATTTCCAAAAAAATAAAAATAAAACGTTTATTAATAATAATAATAATAATAATAATAATAATAATAATAATAAT